GAGGGTAGATTCTTAGCAGGGCACCTTCTCAGCCAAGTAGCTTATTCTCAGTCCTGGGCGACTCAGCCCTTCTCCTGGCCTTTGCTCACCCCTGGAGCACCTGCCTCGGGCCTGACTGTAATAAGAGGTCTTCCGTGGGGTCCATTTATACCAAATCTGCCCCCATCTTCCTTCCACTCAACTCCAACACTCTGAGTAGGTGCACTAGGAAGGAGGCAGGAAGAGAGAAAATGGAGACCCCACATTCGGTCACAGCAGCTCTGCCTCCTAGGGGAGACATGGAAGTGACATCGAATCAAGAAAAGCTAGCCCCGAGTCAAACAGAACTAGCTGTTTTGCATAACGAAGCAAAAATGTTAGTCTTTCCAGGATTAGTTTTTCCAAGGGGGAGGGGTCAGAGAGGGAGGGGCCCAGAAAGATGAGGTGATTGCTTCCCGGGAAGGGGAGGGATGCTGCTGTGACTTTTTCAAAATGAGTGTCTAATACCCCACTTTAAGGCACAGTCTGAATGTTAACCCACAAACCTCCCCAACCCTCAAACTTGACTCCATGCCCCGGAGTCTGTCACCTGCAGCCCGTGGTGAAGAAACCGGAGTGGCGCCCAGTGTGAGGTGGGTGATGTGCATGGAACACGGATGAGATGCATGGAGATCAACCAGAATCCACACCCAGTTAGCAGATGCCGAGCTTTGAGGGAAGGGGGGAGGTGGAGAACTGTGAGGCCCCCCTGAAATCCCTGGGGAGGCAGTGAAGGGTGATATGAGGTGGGTAAGGGGTGGTCAGGCTAAATTACATCCTGTCTAAAAGGACAGAGTGCCCTAGCTGCTGTACAGATCACAGGACAGGGGATTTCACGATGAACCAGGGGGGATTATCAAGTGATGACAGTTTGTTATTCTACAAGATATGCTACAGCGGTGTCTCTTCCAAGGTGAAGGTTTCCTGTGGGTATTCATGGCCCTTGAGGGTTAGAGGATGAATAGAAATGAGACACTTAGTAGAATCCAAACAGAAAGGTGGGGTAGACATGGCTTCTTGTGTCCTTGGTTAGTGGGCTGATGAGACCAGTGTTGAGGGGAGGCACCGTCACGTCAGAAAAGCACCAGGTAAGTTCCCTAGAGTTCAGCATCCAACGTTGAGTTTATAAAAGTGTGATTACTGAGAAATGTGAAGGGCTCTCCCATATAACCAAAACGTTCAGTTTAGTAGTTTCAAGGGCTGTTGACTTTTCACCTCAAGACCATGACTGGTCATTATAGTGAAGGATTTGTGGGCGCATTTCCTTGGGAAATTTTCTCACTTAAATTTGTAACTAGGAGGTTCACTCACCAACCCCAGGAGAATCTACTCACTGACACTGAATTCATCGGACTAGTTCAAGTTAACGCATCTGGTGTAAAGAGACAGGAAAAACATCTTTTAGAATTAGCATATCTCTATACAAGGCTGTTTTATAAGCAAAATACAATGACTAACAAAGTAACTTCAAAACACAAGACGGATCAGGGCAAGGTGGTGCCAATGGCATTGTTTCCAACCCCCTGAAATCACTGCAAAAAACACACAGATCTACTAGGAAAATATCAAAATGATTTGAGATAAAGTCATGGGTATAGAAGACAGGCAAAGAAGATCCAACATATGCAAAATGGAAGCCAACACCACCACCACCCCCGCCCCAAATACTTAAAAGTAAGGTAGTGCAGAAGAACAAATATAAACAACTATTATAGAAAACTTTCCTGAAAACAAAGAAACAGAATGACTTGAATCTGTATATTTTAGGGGACACAATGTTCCTGGAACACATGACCAGAATAGTCAACTCCAAGGCACAGTCTACTAAAACTACTGGACCTAACAGATTAGAAATCCTTTGGCCAAGTAACTCTACGGCATTAGAATGCCACAGAATACTTTGAAGCCGAAACACAGTGGAGTAAATGGAGGAAGAGCTACCCAAGAAAGAAAATGCGAGCCGACCATGTTTTTATCCAGCCTAGGTGGCCTTTTGACTACCCTGCCCAACTCGCTACCAGGTTCCCCGGTTCTGTTTCCTTTGAAGGATCTTGCACATTCCAAGTTCTCGTTCATCTTTTCCCACAATGAATGCTGCACGAGAGCAGGACCTTTGCCTTGTTTGCTGCTCTGCCTGCAGCACCCAGTGGTCAAAGGTTTCATAAACAAAAGAAATGTCCCCAGGACAGTCTCAGTCAGTTCAGGCTGCTGCGACAGAACATGGCAGATGGGGTGGCTTAAACAACAGGCACTTATTTCTCACGGTTCTGGAGGCTGGGAAGCTGGAGATCAAGGTGTCGGTAGATTGGGTGTTCAGTGAGGGCCCGCCACCCAGAGTAGAGACAACCGCCTTCTCACTGGGTCCTCGTGCGGCCTTTCCTTGGTGCGTCTGTGTGCAGGGGTCTTTCTCTCTCCTCCTCTACGTAGGAGCGCCGATACCATCATGGGAACCCCACCCTCCTGTCCTCATCTTACCCTAACCACCTGCCGAAGGCCCCACCATCAATGCACACACTGGCAATCAGCGCAGCAACATGTGACTACAGGGAGCGGCTCAAACAAAAGTTTTCCTCTTCCTGCACCTAACACGAGGCACCTGGCTGAGCTCTGAGGTTCCCCCTGCTCCGACATCCTCATGTTCTGTCCCTGAAAGGGGTCTGTCTAGTAAGAGCCCCAACTAACCACACTCTTATACTGCCAAGCGCTGTGCAGGCGATGGGGTTAAAACAATAGGTGCACAAACCTGTCATGTGTGGGGCCCAGTGCCCGCCCAGTGCTGGGTAGGAAGACTGGGACTGACAATATAAAACAGGAGAAGCGGGGTTTTTCTCCTACAAAGCTCTTACCACACACTGGAGAACCTACAGGTATCATTTCCCTCTCTGGGCTGAAGATACCCACTGAAGTCAGGCTTATGTGGGAGGGGCAGTATTTCACACAGAATGGGCTCCCTTTACTGGGGGGAATCCCTTTGTAATTGACTTCTTCTCTTCTTTTAAAGACAGAGAGGAAGACAGGAGAAAGAGAGAAACATCAATCAGCTGCCCCTGCATGCCCCCTACTGGGAGTTGAGCCCACAACCTGGGCATGTGCCCTGACCAGGAATCAAACCTCTTGGTACATGGGACAGATGCTCCACCAACTGAGCCACACCAGCCAGGCAGGAGGCATCCCTTTGTGATACCCAGGGCACTGCTTACCTCCTCAGAGGCGGGCAGCTGATCCTGAGAAGGAAGCAGGAGGGACCGAGCACAGGGTGGGCTGGGCTGTGACTACAGGTCAGGGAAGTGGGAAAGCGACTGTGGTTGGTCTTGGGTGGCTGGGGACCGTTTCAAGGCAGAGAGACTCCTGCCGGGGTTGCGAGCGCCCATGTCAGGACAGTCTGGTGGGTGCCAGCGCAGGAGGAGACTGCTGGCTGGGTGGTGGGGGGAGGGGCGGGCCGGGCAGAGGGGGTCTTGAACACCAGGACTTGCTGGCCAAGACTCTGAAGTGACTTATCCCAGGGGTTCTCAACTCCAGGAACCCTGGGGCTCTGGACATTTGAATTACGTGGAAACACTTCCAGCCCCATCTGCAAAGTGAACGGAATGCGCTTCTCTCGTGGGTCCCGCCCCCTGCCCATGTCCTATTTGGTGGCTCACCTTCTCCCTTCTCGCCACCGGAACCTCCGGCCGGACAAAAGCTGCTTCCGCACAAAGTCAGATGAGTTGTCTTACATTTAATCGATCAGTATTACAAAGTGTTCATGCTACATACAACCTCACTAACATCCAGGGGTGTGGGTGCCTATAAAAGGGGGGACTCCTGACCTCTGTCCTACAGGGGGGCTCGCCGGCCTGGCCTCCTGCGAGGTCAGGGGCTGTGGACGCTTGACCCGCAAGCTTCCGATGCTGAGCACGGAGCCCGGCTCCTCCAGGCCTTCCCATGAGCTGCACGTGAGCCCGCGTGGCAGGTGGGACTTTGCTGGCAGGGCCGCGAGCAGGCACACGCCATGGGAGCCGACTCAGGGGCTCGGGGCCTGGCCTGGGCTCAGGCGTGTAGGCCCCGCTGCCTGGCAGCCAGAGGCCAGAGCTGAGGGAGGAGAACAGGAGTATCCCCGAGGGTAGCACAGAACATGAGTGACTGGGGAGGGAGGGACACAGAGAGAGAGAGCACGGCCACAAACCAGCAGGCAGCTCAGAGACCAGGGACAGGTAGGGCCTGGGCACGTGGAGCCGAGCTCTCTCGGGCCAATCTGCCGGGGAGGCCGAGGGGCGGGCTGCAGGCAGGTTCCCGCGGGCCCTGGGCGGGCTCATCCCCTGCCGGCCGCGCCCTCCGGCGGGGGTGGCAGACAGAACAACAGGGCTGGTAAAAAGGAACACAGAAGCATGGACATCCCCACTGCAGGCCAGCGGGGCTGCGGCTCAGGGCACAGGAACAGGAACCGCAGGACCTGCACCAAAGCAAGGACAAGAGAAGACAGTCAGAGGCAAAGCGACCATCTGGTGGGGGTGATGCAAGAGGGGGGCGCGGCAGGCTGGAGGGCAGGTGGGGGCGGAGCTGCTGGGGCGAGTCTGGCTGGGAGCCTGGTGGGCAGGGCTGGTCCCCAGAGGTGAGGCCGGGGTCTGAGCCTGGGCAGATCATACAGGGGCAGGCGGCTTGGTGTCAGACCTGGAGGTGGAACCTGTTTCTGTGACCTGGACAGGCCACATCCCTCCTCCAAACGCAGCTGTGCAGCCTCTACACCCCAGCTCAGCTGTGATGATCCGGCGACAGCGCCGCACACTACCTGTGAGGCGCTCTGCAGGTGTGTGCCCGTTGCTAAGGGGGCTGCCGAAAAGTTACTGGCTCCCAAGGGAATAAGGGAGATAGCAAGGGTCCCCAGCCCCGGGGGCCCTCGGAGGGCAGCAGAGTTGGGGTGGAGGAGGGGTGCCCCTCCTTTCTGACTGGCTGCTCTGACTCAGGTGTCGGGCCCCACAGGTGCTCACCACGCGCGGCTTGCGCTACGGGTCTGGCAGCTGCTCAAGGACCATGTCCTCGATGCCACTGATCTACGGAGAGAGAAGGGAATCAGAGACGCAACCGGGTCTCCTCCACCCCCGGCTCCCAGCCGCCCGCCATGGAGCAGCAGGCAGGCACCTCAAGGGGGTCCCAGGCGCCCCTCCCACCAACCTCCACCCCGGGATGCCCACCAAGAGGCCCTCTAGGGCCGAGGGGACTTCAATTAGAGACCCAGAAGGTAGTCTGGCCATTCACTTCTAACCTCTCTCTAATCTGATCCTTTAAAAAGCTGCAGTTGTAAATTCCCTCCCTTTTTTTGTTTGTTTTGGTTCTTGGTGCAGACCCAGGCATGGGGACCGGGAGCAGGGCCTCGGGAGAGGAGCGAGGTCCCGGGCGGGGCACACACTTGCCTCGATGTGGTACACGATGCGCCAGAAGCTGGAGTCGGAGGCGCGGTACCGCCTGCCAGGGTAGAGCTGCCACATGAGGGGCAGCATGCTGGGGGGCAGCCGGCTGGGCTGCATGGCCTCCCCGTGGGAGACCTCGATCTGGCGCATGAGGACTTGGAGGCTGCTTTCTGTCTGGAGAGAAGACGGGGCACACCTTCGAGGCGCCTCCAGGCACAGCTGGCCCCCGAGATGCTGGGAACCGGGCTCTAGAAGCCCCACCCCTTCAGCCCCACATGTCCTCTCAGGCACCTGGCTGGGCTGGGGCGGCCAGGATGCTCACAGGTAAGACACCCAGACAGGGCCACAGAGGCCCACTTCTTCCCGGCAAACCTCGAGTTGCCAGGGCGTGCCTTGGGGCCTTGAGCTGCCTCCCCTTTGCAGTTTGGTGCCTGTTTCAGCTGATGTGGGACTTTCTGTGATTTTTCGGTCATACATCTCCTTTTATTTTAAAAAATATATATTTTATTGATTTTTTATAGAGAAGAAGGGAGAGATAGAGAGTTAGAAACATCGATGAGAGAGAAACATCAATCAGCTGCCTCCTGCATACCCCCTACTGGGGATGTGCCCGCAACCAAGGTACATGCCCTTGACCGGAATCGAACCTGGGACCCTTCAGTCTGCAGGCCGACACTCTATCCACTGAGCCAAACTGGTTAGGGCCATACGTCTCCTTTTAAACAAGAACCCGCAGACCCCAGGATCCGGGACAGACCACTTTTCGCCACCCCAGCACTGCCCTCGATCATCACCTCTCACCTGGACCACTGTGGGCACTTCCTAACTCGCCACCTGTCGGACGTGTGCCCCACAGTATCAGTCCCTGGCACAGCCGCCGGAGGGGGGATGTGAGGCATCCAAAAAACACATCATGTTTCTCCCTGCTCCACGCTCTCCAATGCACCCCCATTGCAGGCAGAATGAACTGGAATCCTGACTGTGGTCCACAGGCCCACGGAGCCAGGCCCGTCTCCCTCCTCTCCGACTGTCTGTCCACCACCTCCTCCCTGTCCCAGCCACTCAGGCCTCCTCACTGTTTCTGGGACATGCCACACTTCAGGGAGCACTTGCACCCACTGTCCTCTGCCAGGAACATTCTCCTCTGACCTATGCAGGCAAGGGTGGGGAACGTGCCCTGACCGGGAAACGAACCCCTGCCCTGGCCCTGCCAAGGCAGCAGGGTGAGTTAATTAAATGTCTGACCACATATAGCAGGCTCTTTTTAAAGTTGATAATTTTGCATGGCCTGCAAATGATGTTATAAATATCCAAATGGCCCTTGGCAGAAAAATAGTTCCCCACCCCTGGCTTACACCTTTCTTTTAGGCAGGGATCTGCTGAAATGCATCTATATGTATAAAATTACCTAAGCGACAGGCTGATAGGCCAGTAGCTATGATGCACACTGACCACCAGGGGGCAGACGCTCAATGCAGGAGTTGCCGAGCTGCGGTCACTTGGCAATAGCGGTTCGCACCCAGAACTAGAGAGGAGGGAGTCCAATTCTGGGGTGTGTCACCCGAGAACCGCCCTCTCACAATTCAGGACCCCTTGGGGGATGTCAGAGAGCCAGTTTCGGCCCGATCCCCGCAGGCCAGGCTGAGAGACCCCACCAGTGCATGAATCTGTGCACCGGGCGTCTAGTGTCTTCTCAAGACAGATTTCAGCAAAACCCAACTCTATGATATACACAAGGGGCACCTCAAACAGAGGTCTGAAAGGGTTAAATACGGTGATGGGCAAACGCATGACAGGCAGATGCAAATTCAGGCTGTGGAGGGTCTTGCTGAAGACCCACACCCGCTGGCTGTTGCCTCTCATCTCACTTCAGTTCCCCCCGCACACTTACACCCGCCTCCATGACCTGGGGCCCTTCTAACCATCAGGACGATGCCAGCTCCACACGGAGGGGGCTTCTGCAACACCCTCAGCCCAGCATCATGCTTGGCACAGGCACTAGGTACTCTTGCCCAGCCAGCATGGCTCAGTGGTTGAGGGTTGACCTATGAACCAGGGGGTCACGGGTTCGTTTCCCAGTCAGGACACATGCCCAGGTTTGCAGGCTCCATCCCCAATAGGGGGCCTGCAGGAGGCAGCCGATCCATGATCCTCTCTCATCATTGATGTTTCTATCTCTCTCTCCCTTCCTCTCTGAAATCAATAAAAGTATATTTTGAAACACAAAAAGTCCTAGGCACTCTTTTTTTGTTAAATGACTATTTTTTCCAAAGTGGAAATAGCTTTTTAAACTTTTCTGTCTATGAAATAATTGAAAACTCGCTGTTACGAAGTCATTCAGCTCGCCCTGCAAGGTGTAAGTGTGGAAATCACTATTCTTACTACGGACTACGTTCTTCGTGTGTAGTCTCCCATGTCCTTCCACCATTTTCAGTTTGCTTAGCCATCTTTTGCTTGTTGCTTTAAGTAAACTTTCACATGTTAAGAATACTGGGGGACCCCATCCTTTGGCCAACCCATTAGCAACTCCTGACCCATGGTTTGCTAACGGGGTGTTTTGTGCAGAATTTATAATGATTATGCAAAAAACTCTGCTTTGTGGTTTTGGTGCCATGTTGAGGATATTCCCCAGCTAGAGATTTTAAAAGATAATTCACTTCAATTTTCTTCAAATAGTTGCATTTAAAAAGTAAATATTTAGCTTGATTTTTTTTAAAGTATGTATATGTATATTTTGCAAATTTAAATGACACTAAAGATGCAAATTTAGATGGTGGTCAAGAGCCTGAAGTGCCAACCCCATTACCTAACTAGCAAGCAGTACTTCTTCGGACAAATTTACATTCTTATGCCTCAGTTTCCTCCTCTGTAACATGGGGACACAGTCACTATCAATGCCTTTTTGCTGTTTGCTATAATATTACATAAATGCCCCAATATTATACATTTGAATTTTGCTTTTATACATTTTTACTTCAGTTTACATATGGAAAGTTTCAGCATTTTCACCTAAGTTTCTTTGAGAAAACACATACTGATGGAAAGTATTGTAAGAGAGAGAGACTCCTTTTGTTTGGTAATTCTCACCTGAGGACATTTTTCCCAGAGTGGAAGCGGGAGCGGGGAGGGGAGAGAGACATGATTGGTTCCTCCCACACCTGCCCCCACCCTGCAGCCCAGGTACATGCCTTGATCAGGAATTGAACCCGAGACCCTTTGGTGTGCAGACTGACGCCTTAATCCAACGGTTCTCAACCTGTGGGTCGCGACCCCTTTGGCGGTCCACCGTCCCTTTCCCAGGGGTCGCCTAAGACCATCCTGCATATCAGATATTTACATCACGATCCATAACAGTAGCAACATGACAGTTATGAAGTAGCAGTGAAAATAATTTTGTGGTTGGGTCACAACATGAGGAACTGTATTTAAAGGGCCAGAAGGTTGAGAACCACTGCTCTAATCACTCTGCCACACCGGCCGGATAGGAGATGTATTTCTTTAAGAAAAGTTAACATGAACTGAAGTTCCATCTTAAGTCATCACACATAAAACGCTGATTCAGGACGGGCAGTTAGACCACTATACTATCTGCACATGTTCGTGGGGTCTTTCTCCCCAAAGCATCAAGGAGGAATGAAATACCCCAAACTCCAGGGCAGTGGTTCCCTAACTTGGTTGACCATATCTGCCCAGGGTCCCTTTAAGACACAGATTCTGGGGCTCCCAGAAGAGGCTCCAATGACGGACCACGTGTGCGAATCACTGTAGAGCAGCGGTTTTCAACCTTTGCCGTCTCCCGGCCCACGCACTACTTACTGAAATTCTGCAGCACACTACAAAACATTTTTTGCCGATCTGACAAAAATAAATAAAGGCACAATCTTGATTCTTTCGCACCGGACGGCTGTGGTTGAGTTGGCTGCTGTCAGCGTTTTGACAATCTGAGGGCAAAGCGGTCCGCCCCCTGACAACGGGGCCGGGTGTGTGCGCTTTAACCACTCCTGCCGCCCACCCGGTGCCGCGGCACACCGGCTGGGAACCGCTGCTTTAGGGCTGTCATTCCCATTTTACAGGTTAGGACTCCGAAGCCCAGGACATTCCTCTTTCACTCAAGATCACAGCCACACGCTTCAGAGGCGCGGGGCCCCATCCTCTGGCCCGCACCCCGTTTCCCACGCCCCTCTCCGGCCGGGAGAGCGCCTCACCCCGCGAGCGCAGCTCAAACTGGTTTCACCTGGGAGCCG